ATGAAGAAGAATGAAATATGGTCAAGATAATTTTCCAATTTTCCTCCGAATTAAATTAGGGACACATAAATTTCATAAATTTTCTTTACTTGATGTTCAAAACTTCTTTTTCGATAACTTTAGCGTTTAAATTCCGAAAAATAATGAGACCTGCTGTCCTATGAGCAGAAATTAGTAGATGGTTTTCTTTCGAAAATTTAATTTCGACGAGAAATACGATGACTCTGTGTTTAGTGAGCAATATATATTATATATGATATTTACCAAATCATCTTTTGAATGGGCATCGTGATAAACCTCAATAATATATCTATAGATGATGTGCAAATTGGTGGTTATTCAAAAATACGATTAGTTTCGTGTGCATCCTTGATTTTGTCTTTCCTTTACTTCTAGGCTTAAAAGGGCGTGATGAGCTTGAATTGAGACTAAGCGGTGGATGAAGAGAAAAATGATTAGGAGAAATGGAAAGAATTCAAGAAGATATTATCCATAGTGTTTAGAGGAACGAGCTAGGGTTTGAGAGTAATTTTTAAGGAAGTAAACGATGTGCCCAATTGAGGACGTGTAGGAGACAAGATGCAATACATCTCTAACTTACTCTTTACCCTCTTCGTTTTGTCTCATAAGCCCAACATGCTATTTCTTCTCTATCTGATTTTAATATTTTATTTGTAGAAACGAGTATTGCTATATGGACCAGAAGCATGCGCACTAAAGAAAACGGAAGGAGACGATGGAGTATGCTTGATGCGTAGAGATCGATGCATCCAGGCCTGTTGGTTATCAGCCCGAAAATTGCTCTTCACGACTCCAGTTATGCTTGCCGAACCTTCTCAGACCGCTTTTCGACTTAAACGTTACGGCCTAAATTGATAACTATTGTTACCGGTGTTTGCTACACTATCATTTAGTATTTTTAGCAAATTATTTGAGCTGTTCTTATAAAGAGAAAAATAAAATGGCATCAATTTTTAAATATTGTAAGAAATATTCAAATCTTTTTATTCATTCTTGAAGATATGAATGCTGTTATTGCCCGTTGGGAGTATTATATTATTCTGGAAATTTTATAATTTTCATGAAACAAAAAAATTATCGGCTAATCATTGCTTATTAGGACGTACTATTTCTACTGTCCTTCTATTCTGTTTATTTTCTATGTTAATAGCTGTATCAAATTTATTGTTATTGTTAAGGATATATCGTTAAATTATTATTCGCCGATATTTACAGCAACAATAAATAAGATATTCAATTTTAAGAAGACAATTAGATTAAGCAGTAAATAAATTGCTAAATATATATATAAGCTAACCAAGTGGGTTGGGCAGATAAATGAATGAATGTTGCTCTCCTGTTATTGGCTTTTATGATAGATATTACGAAGTCAACAGAAAGACAACAACAACAACAACAACAATCACAAAAATCCTGTGAAATACAAGAAATTCATGGAAAAGGAGTGTCAAGCGGTTATTTGACATCTCCAAATTATCCATTCAGCTATCCGTCTAATCAGGACTGCCTTTTCAATATAACTGCCTCCGCAAATTTGGTAATCCATCTAACTTTCACCCATTTTCATCTGGAAGGACGTACGCTACGCTCTAATCAATGCCTTAATGATTATCTAATCGTTACCGTAGTGGATCGTCAAGGACGTGAACATGTTGGTGAACGCTTTTGTGGTAATCAACTCCCTGAACCTTTACATACCATGCAAAATTCAGTTTATATTCGTTTTCATTCCTCACATACGGATGAATACTCAGGTTTTCGACTACGTTATCAATTCTTGACAGAAGGTTTTTTTTTTATTTTTTAAATTTAAATATATGGTGATAAATTTAAATTTGTACTTCTACCATCTAACTTTAATATTATTAATTTTTCATCTTCCATTTTCAATAAAATAAGCAGTGGAACTTAATATTTCGCTATTTCGTTCCTTAAATTCTTTTCAATTTTTCAAGCTACTACGAGATTCGATACGATCAAATTCTCTAAAATTGAATTTTTTTAACAATCATAATTATATATGAAAATTCACAATTATTTGTAGATTAGAAATGATGGAAAGATAATGAAATATCAGAAATGAAAGGAGAGCATTTAAAA